GGTACATTTACACCTTCGGTAAAAAAGTTTTTTTTTTTACTTACAAGATTTCGTTCACACGCCGCTTTTCCAATGAGATAGGAAAAACTTATTTTTTGCGGGAATTTTGAATTTTAAGTTTTATTTTAGAAGGTGAAAGAATGTTCGTATTGATAAAATGAAATTATTATTAGAGAAAGACAATTTTCAATTTAATTATATTATAATATAAATAAAGAAGAAGATTTTGTAATTTACAATAAAGTGAATTATTAATAGAGTTTCTCGAGCTCAGTCGATTCAGTTTGTTCTGGCCACGAGAATGAAACACGATGATAAACAGTTTTACGTTCATCGTCAATAATAATTCTCGATAGTTTGTAAGTAAGTATATTTTTAAATATTATTAAAAATAAATCTTGAACTTTTTATTTACATTGATAAATAAAATGTATTGTTTTTGTAGTCTTTTGAGCACGCAGTGTTTTTAATGCTTGACAACATAACCTGTACATATGTATTATATTATTGTAACATTAATGTTTTTTATGAAATAAAAATAAAAAATGTTATTAAACTTCACACATTTTTATGAACTATTATTATTTAAAGTATATATGGTAATTCTTTTGTACTGTTAAACACTTGTTTAGATAATTAAGCTTAATATATACGTATTCGGTTTGTCGTCAAACATCACGAAGGATTAATTTTGCGTGTTTAAATGAAATATTAAAATTTTTATATTTTTGCAAGCAATCATTTAAATAAATCATTAACAAATTTTCTTTTCTTTATTTAATATTATATTATATATTAATATTACATTTATGTGAATAAATCAGTAATATATTTTCTTTTCCTTATTGAATATTATAGTTGTCGGACAAAATGGATTCTAATTACCAAGGAGTAAGTTGTATAAAATAAAAATTATATACATTCTTTAATTAGTATTCGTTTTTAATTTACATCAAAATTCATTTTATTTTATAAATATTTTAAAAGGTTATAAATTATGTGGAAGATGAAGATGAATTTTTATCGGATACAAGTGTGGATGAGGACATTCAAATATTATTATTACTCAGGCGAAAACGTAAGCGAATATCTGAAAGGAGATTTTGGGTTCATCCTTTGTGGAAACGGCGAAAAGAACAAGGTAAAATAAATCATATAATTTTTGTTTAAAGTGTTCAAAAATTGAATTTTTAATTAATTGCTCCCAGTGCACTGATTTATTGAATATTCTGTAGACGTCCTAGGGATATCCAAAAGGTTTCGGGAGTTTGAATATCCATATAATGTCCCAGGGATGTCCATGGACACTCTTTGGACATTTTATGGATATCCGACTGCTGCGAGAATGAGCCGGTAATCCTTGAACGTCCACTGGATTTCATGAATTTTCTACTGCTGAGTAAATATGAAATGTAATCATAAAAGTTCATATATTTTCTGTTTATGAGTGATTCTTATAAATATGAGCTCTTGGATGTTCCGATTAATTTTTTAAAACACACTTAATAATAATTATTGTCAATTTACATTATTTACTTGCAAACTTTAGTAAAAATTGTGTAAAGATTTAAATCTCTCACTTAAATAAATGTTTATCGTCAAACTTTCCTGAACATTTAAATTAAATTTTCGCCTACTCTATTATTTCTTATTTCTATTTTATTTCTTAATATTAAAACTTAAGTCTTATAATTGTATACTCATAATACAAGATACCTTAAACTGGCAATCACTATAAGATTTACCCCTAATTGATTCTTAAAATACATAGGTGAAATAGAAATTGCAAGATATAAATTTCACTACTTTTTAAATATTTTTTTCCTACACATTTTCCATCTTCTGATTTAAGATAATGATGCTGACGCTTATTTATTCTTATTTAAGTTTTTATACATCCTAATACTTGGTAAATTTATTTAAAGATATAATAGATATCTTACTAATTTTTCATACAGGTATTCACGATAATCTTTACCTTGAGATGGCCTTTCTTGACCCATTAATGTTTAAAGAGTATCTACGTGTAAGTGTGGTTCAATATGAAGAACTCTTACAACTAACTGGACCATATTTGATAAGTGCTCCTACAAGAAGAGATGTTATCACTCCATCGCAGAAGCTAATTATTACTTTGAGGTATTATACAGAGAAATATATTTTAGGGGTAAGTTGTACATCTTGTTTTCACTTCATAAACATATAGCTTTATAATAGGAGATATTTAATTTCTTCATTATATTAATTTTTAGGATGCCTAACGTGCATTGAAACTTTGTGAACTAGTAGAGTGACGTAAAATTAGTTATGTCATAAAGAAATTGCGAATTCACCTTGACTTTTTTATCACTGAAATATTAAAGGATTAATTGTTTCTAAAAATTAACAGTCCAAGTTTTTTTAGTGTGAAACTAAAATTAAAATGTGATAGATTTTGGCCTACATTGTTGAAAAAATTTTTTTTATGAAATATTGAATTTTGAAACAGATTTTGAATGAAAGTTTACAATCCTTATTCAAAAACAATCTACGATTTTCAAATTATAAGAGTGTAGAACGTCTAAAAATTGTAAGATGTTTAGATTTTTATTTAATGTTTTTGTGAAATAGAATTTTTAAAAGTAAAGCAAGTTGCATTGCAAAGATATTAAAATCGCTCTCTAACGGTCAATATATATATATATTTATTATTTTTCCTAGTAATGAATCACATAAATTTTAATATTGTATTGAATAAACATTTATTGTTTAGGTTCTTGGCAACTGGAGAAAGCTTCAAATCTCTACAAGGACAATTTCGCATAGGGATTTCTACAATTTGTAATATTGTACACAAAGTTTTGGGATGCATTTGGAACATACTACAAGAAAAAGTCTTAAAAGCACCAAATTGTCCTGAGGATTGGAATCAAGTTATTAGGGGCTTTGAAGAAAAGTGGCAATTTCCTCATTGCTGGGGGGCAATGGACGGGAAGCATGTAGTAATGGAGGTAACTGTTGGTTAACTTGCTAAAAACTCCTTTGGAGGATTTTTTTCATCATTCTTATACAATACTTATACAATTACCAATTACAAATATAGCATACAATAGCAATTGGTAATTTTTTGTTTTCCATCAATTCATATTATTTTAATAAGAAATTAAAAAATTTGTTAAATTCATTTTTGAAAAATAATTTTAAACATGAATTTTATGAATAATTATCATCGCCTATTGTAAGCATTAGTGTCTCTCTTATCGTGTTATTTGTAATTAAATGTAATTATTTCAACTGCGACTATAAGTAGATTTATAAATTTAGTAAAACTTTGTTTTAAAATACGAAAATTTAGATGCAACAATTTGTTAGATAGCTTATTATTTTTACATTGTTTTTTAAACTTCGAGACTGTAGTATAATAATACTAAGTATATATTGAATAGGAGATAAAAATTTAAGTAAACTTTATTCATGAAGTTTAATATTTGCTTTATTATTACAGGCACAACCGAATAGTGGTTCCAAAAACTACGACTACAAAGGCCACCACAGTCTACATCTATTAGCCCTTTTTGACGCAAACTACAAGTTTTTAATAGTTGATGTTGGTGCCCATGGGAGGCAAAGTGACGGTGGTGTTTTTGCCAACAGTAACTTGTGCAAACGATTAAATGATAATTCTCTTCATCTTCCCCCTTCTTCTGCATTAATTCCAGGAGGTCCTCTTCTTCCCCACGTGTCCGTAGCAGATGAAGCTTTTGAATTAAATGTAATGTGATGCGTCCTTATCCTGGAAGATCTACAGGAAACTTACCAAATGATCAGCAAATATTTAACTACAGACTGAGCCGTGCTCGACGTATTATTGAGAATACATTTGGCATATTGGTTGCTCAGTGGAGAATATTCCGCAATCACATTAAAGGAAACATGGAGTTGGTAAACTTAATTATACCAGCAGCAGTTTGTTTGCACAATTTTTTAAGAATCAAGGAAGAAAATTCAAATGAATTCGAATGTCATTATTGCCCACCCACTTTAATAGACAGGATTGATCAGAATGAAAAGGAAATTAATGGAGACTGGCGTCATGATTTCAAAATGGATGCTTTTACATCTTTTCAAAGTCGTCGTGAAGAAAAACTTGCTGCAATGTACATCAGGGATGAATTTACAAAGTACTTTTTAAATGAAGGGAAACTCTCTTGGCAGCAAAGGAGAGTTGACGAAGGATCATTCTAAAATTATCTCGAACATACATACTCTTTATGGTAATTTGATTAAGTTAACTTGCATTTGACTACATTTTTATTTCAATAAAATTTAATTTTAATCTAATTCAAAGATTATCTGACGGAAGTAGCTTAGCATAAATTCGAAATTAATAAATAAAAACTTCATTATTTTTTACATGTTAATTTGAAAATACTCTAAAAAATATTCTTTAGACCATGTTACATTAGAAATTTTAGATAAATAAATATTCTAACAATGGAGAATTTGTTAAATTTTTATTCAAGCTAATTCTATTAATTGAAATTGATATTAAATGATTATTCGGTTATATGGATTCCTGTAATGAAATTTTTAAGAGAAAAATATATGTTTAATAAAGAAGGTGATCTGTTTATTAACTACATATTAAATACATATTTATTTAATATCACAAATATTGAGACGTAGTATATATACTGTTTCCAAAAACAATAGTTAATAGTAAGGCATTGGTCGTCAGATATTTTTTTTCTTTTTACACGTATAATCATAAAATACATTACCGCTTAGTTTGTACTTCAAATTTTTTTCAAACAAAAAAATATTAACAGTATTAAGAATACAGATTCATTTAAGCTACAAAACAATCGCTTTTGAAGCAATAAGAATCTGGAACAACTCTTCACGCTACTTATAAGTATATAGTTCAAGACTAGAACAAATTCCATAACTCAGTCTTTGCAATATAAGTATCCCAAAATGCAATTCAAAATAAGTAACAAAATTTAATATATAACGAAATTAAAGTAACCTTGGAATAGGTTAATGAAATAGAAAACATCGTTAAAACGATAAAGATATTTGAAATACCTATTAAAGTAAAAACGAAGTAAAAAATTCAATATTAAAATTCGTTGTTAAATACTGAAATCTTTTTTTTCTCAAAAATGTAATTAGTGATGAAGGCCTGAACTTCAAGCCTATCTGTGGGTGAAAAATTCTGTATTTCTTGACTCATCCATTGACCCCATTGCTGAATTTCGTTCAAACTTTTCCGTGAATCACGCTGCTGTGTCATTTTATTATTAATGTTTTCAATTAAGGCTTCCTCCAAAGGGTCTAATGGTTTCCTTCTTTTACCTGTAATAATATTCTAATCTATTTAAACAAATCTATTGATACATATTACAGAATAGTATTTTATACTCATGACGTAATTTTAAATGCTTTAAAATGTCATAATAAAATGTACAAAATATCATTCAATATATCATTTTTCATTTGACGAAAAAATTCAAACATGAAATAATATAAAATGAACATTGATTCTTATATGGCGCAGAGACACAATAAATAGTAAGTTATTGGTAATTATGTATTTACAAAATGAGATAAGAAATTATAAGTTACATTATTATTTGCAATAACTAAAATTTAGAATATGTAATTATATTTCTGCATAGTAAAAATAGAATCATGTTACAACTTTAAATTCAACGTACTTGAAAAAAAAGTTTCATTCCATGGAAAATGATAAAAAGATTCATTGAGAATTTTCTATTATTTCTACTTAATAACAATGATGACATAAATGGAATAATACGTATAGAACAATATTATAAAATATTAAAGTAACTCACTCGATATAGGAGATTCATTAGATTCTTTCTTCTCGAAACCTAATTTTCGAATATTTGCATGGACAGATTCTTCAGCGATTTCCGAAGAAGAAATGTTGGAAGTCGTGCTATAAAATATGAAGAGAGTAATATCATCAGCTAATTGTCAAACATCTGGATAAACAATGTGAAGCTCGAGTTGTTAACGACTTCTCATTAATAAAAAAGATTATGTTATATGTTTGTTATTTGTTTTGCACAAAATATGATCTATATTTTACTTGTTTCTATACATCAATGAATTGTCACTTAAGGTAATGATATTTAGTGGTTACGTACCCCATATACTTTAAAGTATATGGGGCACGTAAAAATGGAAATGTAGAAATATTGCCATGGTCCGGATCGGGACCAGACCGGGCTTCCCTATTAGGGAATGAAACGCCGCGCCCGATGTGGCCCTGGTCAGGAAATCGAGGTCCTGGTCTGGCCCCGATCGGGCGCGGCGTTTCATTCCCTACTAGGGCCCGGGTAGGGAAATTTCTGCATTACACCTAATAAATACATTACACCTAGTAACTTGACCTTAAGATAAGGGCGCAAATAAACTCTTAAGAACAGAGTACTTTCTTGGAACACGCTTTTTGGGCAATACTTAATTTCTACATCAAATCACTGTTCTTGTATTTATTGCAAAATTCATGTATCGGAATGACGCTCTTAATTAATATTTCCAAAGGGCAGACATAATCAATGTTGACGCAATGTTGTCTTAACATTTTTCGTCAATATTGGCAATATTTTCAAGCAATGTTAAAGCATTATTGAGTTCAAATTGAGTTTTATTTAGGTTAAAATAAGATTTTTTCAATTGTGTTTATGTTTGCCATTTAATACTTGCCTACTAGGATTCATTACTCCTCTAAGGAACGAAAAGTGTTCGTCAAAAATCCAATATTTCTTTTGTTTACCCGCTGCTCCACTCCGAGGTTTAACATTCCTGCGTGTAAAAATATTTTTCAAATAATTGTAATTATCCTTGGCTATTTTAGGTGTCCATCCTGTAAATGTTAAAAGTGGTTGAGTAAAATATGTAAATTTTTTAGATACATGAAAATTTAAGAAAGCTTTTTAGTAATATATTTATTTTATTTTTAAAAATGAGTTTCTTTTTGCAAAAATATCTTCCCACATAGCACCGAAACTTTCCTAAAAATTTATTAAAGATTTACTTGCAAACTTTAGTAAAAATTGAGTAAAGATTTAAATATCCCCCTTCAATAAATGTTTATCGTCAAACTTTCCTGAACATTTAAATTACATTTTCGACTACTCTATTATAAGTAAAAATATGTTATGAAATTTTCAGGAAAGTTTGACGATAAACATTTATTGCAGTGGGAAAAAATCTTTACACAATTTCTGCTAAAGTTTACAAGTAAATAATTCCAAGTTTGCAAGTCAATTTTTAATAAATTTTTAGAAAAGTTTCGATGCCATGTGGGTTTTAATTTTCCGACATATTATGATCCGAATTTCCCGGTTTGTAGCTTGTAAGGGAAAATTTTTATCTAAATACCATTGAATAATATGAAAACTATATTATATAACGATTGAAATAAGTCCAAGAACGTTGAAAAACAATCTCTTCTATCAGGTGTCATTTTTTCATAATTTCATTAGTTTTTAAGGAAATAAAAGGAAAAGTTTCTTTTTTGTTTATTTTCAATGTTTCACCATTTTCAGCTCAAGAAAAAAGGGATGTCCATTCAATTATAGGTGGTACTGTTAAGTGCAGGTATTACATACATTTTGATGGTTCTTATGAACAAGCATGAGAATAAATGTTTCCATTTATAGCATATTAATTTTTATTATTATTAATATTAATTATTAATATCATATTAATAAAAATTAAAATGACATTGTTTTGAAAGCTGTATTCAAATTTAAAAAAAAATTTTTTCTTCTATCCATAAATGTTAACAATATAAATTAATTGAAATATTCATTGAATGATAAATTAACTTAATATGATTAGAGTACTCTATTTCATTTCATAGCGACCAAGAATGAATGACAAAATAAGTTTTTAAAATTTCGTTACAAAATATTTCAGATAAAATTACTTTTTTTCTATTCGTTTTTGTAAATTATGGTGTTTTCTATATTTGCTCTCACAAAAAACGAGTTTTCATAAAGTATTCACCCAAATATATAATCAATAAAATTAGCAAACTGCATATTTTACATAGGATCCTATCTAAATGTCCACATAAAATTCTCGCGATGAATTCTTTAGACAATTTATTTAACTTACCACTGAACTTTTTGGCTATATTAAACCACGCGTTGCCAATTAAGTGTGAATTGCGTTTTTCAATGGGCAATGTAAAATTCCATAAGCACTCATTTTCCTTTACTAATTCCAACAGCGTGATCAAATTTTTTTCAGTTGCCTCAGCAATGCCCATTTCGTTCAATTCGATTTCATTCCTATTTTCTTCATCAACAATCGGTTGGATTGGTGGTGAAGAGATAGTCTCCCCAGTTTTTAGATTCATCATTCTATTTTTCGAATAAGATTGATTATTTTCAAGAGATTCCTCTGCTATTAAATTAGGATTTTTTTAGTACTGATGAAGTTATCAAGTCATGAGAATTAATTTGTGTGGGAGCAGTTGGTGGTAAAGAGATAGTCTCCCTAGTTTTTAGATTCATCATTCTATTTTTCGAATTAGGTTGATTATTTTCAATAGATTCCTCTGCTATTAAAGTAGGATTCTTTAGTACTGATGAAGTTATCAAGTCATGAGAATTAATTTGTGTGGGAGCAGTTTTAACGGTCCACATTTTTTGAGAACCTATACTTGTTTTATAAGTAGCAAAATCTACAGATTCGACACTTTTGACAATAGGAAGATTTTTGCCCTTAATCTTAACTGGATTGTTAATTTGGTTCATATCTGCCTGTAAAACCTAAATACAAGAAACAGTTCCATATTAAGTAAGCTTTTTAATGTTTATAGCCAAAAAATCAATTTTATTTGATTTAATATTGTTTTACATCGCTTTAGTTACTTTTTAAACAAAGATTTAATTATGTAAATAGAAAAGTGCCTTTTACACAATTTGATATCATAGGAATGAACAAATTCGTTGCTTTCATTTTTAAGATTGCGTAATTCGATGCATAAAAAAAATATTCTCTCCTCAATTCTGCTCCTTTTTTATTTAACATCAGAATGACTCAATTGAGCCAACTAGAAGTCAAAATTTTTAACAACATCGTTGGTTTTATAATTACTTGAGTCGTGGAGCAAAGCTTTTATTGGTGAATTACATAAAATTTCAACAATAAAACACTTGATATAAAAGTTTGAAACAATTAGAATCAAATTTACAGACAATAAAAAGTCTCTCTTAAAAAATGTTTACATTTTAATGATATTTTAATATATTTTGAATAAATGATGTAGATTCATTATTTATATTTTCTAAAATACTAACCTCCTCTTCATCTTCATCCAAAAACTCAATATTGTCATAATCGCTTTGGTTAACAATAACATTTCCAATACATGTTATTTTATCAAAGTCTATATTTTGAAAACACCCATGTCTCCATCCGTCTTTATAAGGAACTTTTTCTTTGCACATTTCGCAATAAAGATGTCTCAATACCTAATAATAAATAATTGAAAATAATTAATAGTTTTATTATATGCGTATCTCTAATTAGATTTTTAATGCGACTAATCTTTTTTTCAATTACAATACAATTATTATATTTTATTTATCAAAAATGACATATTTTGCAATTTTTAATTATTAAAAATACGAGATGGCAATTAACATTAATTAATTTTTATATTGATGAAGCCTGATGCTTATTTATATTTTTACCGTTATTTAAAAAAATTTTCATAACTTCAGAGAATTATTTTTGCAACTATAATATTTTTAATATGCTGAAAAAGTTTTAAAATATAATTTAAAAATATATTTAATCTATTAAAATGAATACATCAAAGACAAAATGAGAGTAGAATAATCGTTAGATAATAATGTTACAAAATTATTACATGTTTTATTTACGGTATATTTATAATTATAATTACAGTAGGGATTCGATTATTCGTTCACTTTGTACTTTTATCGATTATCTGAATACATGCCTGCATCCATTTATCCGGATAATTGAGTTTCTACTGTACATGTTATTTAAAAAAAATGTTATTTATGATTTCAAATTATTTGTAAACGTTCTTATTAAAAAAACTTTTAAAGTAAAAAATGTATATATATATTTTTCATTTTATACAACTTACTCCTTGGTAATTATAGTCCATTTTGTGCGGCAACTATAATATTAAATAAGGAACAGAAAATTTGTTAATGATTTATTTAAATGATTGTTTGCAAAATTATAAAAATTTTAATATTTCATTTGAACACGCAAAATTAATCCTTCGTGATGTTTGACGACAAACCGAATACGTATATATTAAGCTTAATTATCTACACAAGTGTTTAACAGTACAAAAGAATTACCATATATACTTTAAATAATAATAGTTCATAAAAATGTGTGAAGTTTAATAACATTTTTTATTTTTATTTCATAAAAAACATTAATGTTACAATAATATAATACATATGTACAGGTTATGTTGTCAAGCATTAAAAACACTGCGTGCTCAAAAGACTACAAAAACAATACATTTTATTTATCAATGTAAATAAAAAGTTCAAGATTTATTTTTAATAATATTTAAAAATATACTTACTTACAAACTATCGAGAATTATTATTGACGATGAACGTAAAACTGTTTATCATCGTGTTTCATTCTCGTGGCCAGAACAAACTGAATCGACTGAGCTCGAGAAACTCTATTAATAATTCACTTTATTGTAAATTACAAAATCTTCTTCTTTATTTATATTATAATATAATTAAATTGAAAATTGTCTTTCTCTAATAATAATTTCATTTTATCAATACGAACATTCTTTCACCTTCTAAAATAAAACTTAAAATTCAAAATTCCCGCAAAAAATAAGTTTTTCCTATCTCATTGGAAAAGCGGCGTGTGAACGAAATCTTGTAAGTAAAAAAAAAAAAACTTTTTTACCGAAGGTGTAAATGTACCTTAAGACATTTATTTTGACATAATGTTAGGGTTGTCGCACAATGGCTTCACGTATGTAAGACATTTATTTTGATATTTAAGAAGTAGAACAAAATAATCATGGATGGCGCTATTTCCTTGGCGGATTGTTTAAAATATTTAAAAATTAAGTCTTGTCCTCCTTCCTTATATTTTCATTGTCCTCAATGAAAGTTTGCAGGTGGAGTTTAATTGAATCTAAACCGTTGTTGTTGTATTTGTACGTCTTTTTCGCATAGTTATGACTCTATACAATATGTATAAATTTTTAATAACTATGAGAGCGATTAAGAGAAGTAATATTTTAAAGGCCATTGAAATGTAGGTGGTTGCGTCAGAAAATATCCCCAAAAATGGAATTTCCATCTGAAAAATTAATTTTTTATAAGTTTTGCTTTTTTTGTGTAAGCACCTTAAAATAATTTTTTTTTTTGAAACATAATTATTAGTGACATAATTCTATGGACAATTGTAATATGATTGTTTGTAACTTTCTTTAAAATAAGGAGGAAAGAAGAAGGCGACCTCCAAATCCCCTTCCTTCTTTTCTTTCGCCCTTCTTTTATTTATTTATTTATTTTATTATTTACTTATTTTTTTTACAACTTTTGATAATATATTTATTGATTGATTAATTATTGACTGTCATAACAAATTCTTATAATTATGTTGTGTTTATTACTAATTATTAAAATATTTATTTTGATAGTTAGTTTAAATTTTTATATTATTCTTAAAACATTTTTAAGTATAATTTTGCCATTCGTTTATCTATATATATTTTTTTTTAATCCCAACTGTCATTGTCATTGTATCTTTTCTTGGGCTCGTCAATTGGTTTTCCTGGGATTTCCAAGAATTCATCGCTATTTTCAGTTTCTGTACCTGTCTTTGGTATTAGTCGTTTGTTTCGGATAGGCCTATTACAGTTTGATTTTATATGCCCTCTTTCATAACAGCTTTCGCAACTTTTAGTCCATTTATAGAGTTTTAATTTTAAAATCGTTGGTTGTTCTAAGCACATTACATAAGTTTTTACATTCAAACTGGATGATTCTTCTTCGCAAAAGTAATAAGTATCATCTAATTGCTTTAGAATTTTATATGCAGCTGTATGTTTAGCATCTCTTATTTTCCTTTCATTTTCCGCTAAAGTTACAAACGTATTACCATTATTAAGGTCTTTTAAAGTACATTTGACAGTATATCTCCTACAGTTAGGTGGTCCTGTTACTTTTTCTATTACATATGTGGGTTTAGTAAAATCGTATTCAATAGCTATTTCCTCTAACTCCTTTTTTGGGAATTCGATTCTGCTAATATTTCCTTTAGGAAATTTGTTTTCCTCGATCACTTCTCCTTGAATGGGTGGTGTTTGGAGTACCAGTTGAGTCATCTATAAAATATAAAATAGTATTATTATTTTTATTCATACGAAAGTTTTAATTTATCAACGTGTTTTTGGAACCTTTGACCTTCTTCATTTGTTAAAATTACATTATTTTTGTCTAAGATATCTACGATTTTGTATGGACCGTGATAGTGTGGGTCAAATTTCTTTTTGATACCTTCTCGAATTACATAGGCTTTGTCACCTATCTTTCCTTTAAACAATTTAACCTTTCGGTCGTATCTTTCTTTTGATTTCCATTTTGCTGCTAATAAATTATTTGCTGCGATGATTCGAATTTCCTTTAATCTAGTTATTAGTTCAGTCAAATAGGAACCATATGTTTCTAATTTTTCTTCCGAAGGAAAGGAACTAGGAGTACAGGTTATCTTTCCAAAGACAAGCTCGTAGGGAGTGAAATTAGTCGCTTCATGAACTGAAGTATTGTATGCAAGCATGGCGAAAGGTAATAATTTATCCCAGTCATCATAATCGGCAGCATTTTGCTTGATATATTCTACTAATACAGCATGACTTCGCTCCAAGAGTAGGTAGTAGGTAATTTTCCTACAGTATCTAGTGAAACTTTATCAAAAGCGTCTAATGGAGTATCTGTGATAAGCATTGGTTCACGGGTTTTAATTCGAACTAGTTTTTACTCTTGACAAGTGGGACATTTTCGAATGAATTTGGTTACTTGATTTTTCATTCCTGGCCATGAAAATTTTTCTCTTATTCTTCTGTATGTTTTAGTTACTCCTTTGTGTTCTGCTATGTTTCTTCTGTGAAATTGTTTAATGATGTACATTCAGACTTCTTCCTTAGGTACTGATATTTGTCCGTAACATATTATTAGTTTTCTATTACTATTTTCAAAAATGGAGTTGAGGATTTGTAAGAACTCTCCTCTTGCTAGTTCGTCGGTCAAATCTCCTTTTCTGAATATTCTTATTTCTTCTATTTTCCCTCGATAACAAAAGGTTTTTAAATTTTTTAATCCAATATATACATTTTCTTTAATTAATGGGTCAAAATGATTATGTTTTATAACTATACTGAAAATATTGTATTTTCCTCTTGGGGTTATTATAATTTGTCCTTTTATTGGTTTTTTTGTTCTTGTACATCTATTACTCCTATGTCAATAAGTAATCTGCTAATAGAAGTGTTAAATTCGCAATCTGCAGATATAAAATGAACATAGTTGCCTTTATAATATGTAAGATTTTCTCTACTGCTCATGATATTTGTGTTTTCTTTCTTTATTCTGGAAAGGCTAAATGGTATTTCTGGATAAACACTGGATAAAGGGGTTTTTATTATAAGTCTTTTATTTTGATCATCTTTATTTTTTTTTCTTTTACAATCTTCTAATTCTTCACTACTTGATTCTGTCTCTATTTCTTTTATTTCCCCATGATATGGTGTGGATGCTGCTGTAGGGTTGTTGAGGTAGGCAAAAGTGTTCATATCGTGAAAGGTTACACTTTTTCGATTAAAGTTTTTATCTCGTTTCGTGGTTGGTGTATCATGTATTTGTTGTTCTTCTTTTTCTATCGCTCTTCCATCTCTTTATTCTATTCATCCGAACCTTAAGTCTCAAAATTAATTCCATTGTTTTCATTATTTGTTTCTGAATTTTGCTCTTTCCACATTGATTCACCCTTGGCATAGTCCTAAATAAGCTCTAATTGTTGTGAAAAATCGGAATGATTACCTGGAATATAATCTAAGGCTGCTTCGTGAACTGCTTCATCATCATCTCCGTCAGAATGAATAGGCCAATTTCTATGGGGCTTTGACGAGTTTTTTAGCCATTCTTTACGTTGTTTTAATGATTCATCAAAACGAGCAAAAGAATCATGTAATTCTGCTCTTTGTTGTTTATTGTTGTGTATAATTTATTATATCCCTTTGTTCTACTGAAGAACTTTCTTCGCTAGTATAATTAGGCGGTTCTATTGTAACTATTGGATTTTTTATGTTGTCTATAGTAAGGTTAAATTTCGGTAGTAATTCAGGTGGTGCACTTTTTGGACTTTTTATTCCTGCTGGAGGAAGTTTTAAGCTTGGGAGGACACTTTTACTTGGTTTTTGAATAGGCGGGTTTGGTCT